GTCTATGTGTACGGAGTGGCAATTATAGCTACGTTAAGAAAATAAACACGTGTTTTGTGTGGGAGTGCTGAGATTTGTGAGTGATCAACATCCCCGGGTGATCAACATCCCGGTCAGCTAGCTTAGTTAACCTTCTCAATTAGGAAAGAGGGGTAAAAGGTCCGGCTGTCTGCGAGCACTCGAGTTAATGTAGCGCTAGCTCCGATACGGATTAGTATCGGCATCATGCCTCACCTGGGCTGGGGCCCACATGGGGCGATATCCTTCCGCTCCCTTTCTCTTTTTCCAGAGCAGCGTATGCAGGTTTCTGATTCACGATTCACAGCTCTTATTGGTTTGACGTCAATCACGCACCTATGTAGGGAAATGCTCAACCACGCCTCAGCGCGCCAGTCATCTTAGCCATGGAGTTGCGATGTCGCATTAGGCAACCACTTTTTGCAGGGCTGAGCGAATGCGACCCCAAGATGGCGCAGACAGACATGCCACTAAATTTCGATCAGCTAACATCACTCTTCATCTCCATGTATACTACTGAAGGCCGAACACTGACCAATTCCTGGTGACGCAAAACCATACCTTAGTTATGGTCAATTCGCCCATCTACCCCCATGAGCTCACAGGACGTACTATCCGCCTGCTTACGGTCGAACCAGGCGACCCAGAAACCCCACTGCATTGCAACCTCACGGAAACATGTCTGGATACAACTCCGTCTTCTTACTACGCCTTGTCGTACTGCTGGGGCGCAAACCACTCCCCTGTCCAGATAATATGCAACTCGCATCCTCTTCTAGTAACGCCCAACCTGCATTCCATCCTGCTCGAATATCGTCGCAGAGAAACCGGAATCCCTCTTTGGGTCGACGCTATATGCATCGACCAATCTAATATCACGGAGCGCACATCTCAAGTTCGCATGATGGACCAAATTTACTCCGAAGCGGAGTGCGTCGTCGGCTGGTTGGGCGAAGCAGAAGCGACCGATGAGATGGCATTGTGGGTGTTGAAAGAACTGCATCTGCCTTGGGCTGACTCCACGGATATACCGGTAATGGAGACTGGTGAACGTGCTCTGGTATTAGATGGGTATTACGCCACAAACGTGCCACAAGCGTACTGGAATGCGCTGGCTGCGTTCCTCCTACGACCATGGTTCAGCCGTATCTGGATGTAGGTTCCATACCCTATAGCTGAGGCTCAGTCACAGCCAGGAGTTTGTATTGACGTAATGTAGTGTTCAAGAGCTTTTACTAGCACGTCAGGTGTCAATCTGGTGTGGGTCGAGAACGATTGACGACTTTCCTGTCCTTGAAACAGCCGCACGATTATCGCAGTACATAAGCTGCCACTCTTTTGTCCAAGCCGGGTTGAAGGCGATGACGTGGAAAGACGAACACGCGCAGCAAGCAGCCGAGAAGAGGCTGGCGAATGCGCATGTTCTATTCATGATCAAGTATGCAAGAGAACATGCAATGAGCGGCACATTGTATCTCTTCACGGCGACTAGATATTTTGATGCCACAGATCGGCGTGATAAGATATTTGCGCTTGTCAGTTTGACAAGTGACATTGATAGGAGCTTTGTGGACTACTCTAAAAGCTACGAGGAAGTGATTAAAGAACTTAATCTCATGTTCCTAGATGGCAGGATTGGATCTATGGGTTGTGTGCTGGATATCTGGTCGTTCATTACAAGGGCAGAAGAGGAGGATATCACGCAGCCAAGCTGGATGGTGGATCTGTTGAAGGTGCTGGACTCTAAGTACACAGCTATGATGACTGCATACGCGACTTACGAGAAGCCGATGATTGAACGTACTCCAGAGCTGCAGTTTGTGGAAAGAGATGGGAAAGAGGTACGCTCTACATCGTTTCTGCTGTCTGCTCCAGTTGACTTGGTTTTAGGTCATAGACATCCGCGGCACCGTCTTCGACACCATAACGCACACCATCCGCTTCCCGATTTTGAAGGATATGTCAGACGGGACACAGCCCTCTGTCGAAGCTCAATGGGCACATGAGTATCTCGACTGGGTCCAACGCGTGACGAATCTCATAGCATCATCAGGTGATCTCACAACACCGTCTTACGGCTCGGAACCTTCCAACATCTATCAGCCCAGCGGATATATTTACGATGCTTTTTGGCGCACTTTGTGCTGTAATCGTCAAGCGGTGGAACCAATAGATCCTCCTCCCGATTCCTTCAGCTCAGAGTTGCTAACAATCAATCCAAACTGATGAGACTGACTGACTGACTGATTGCTTGGCAGTCAGTTCAGTGTCAGTTTAGAGCTCTCGTCTTATCAGTCAGTTCAGTTTAGAGCTCTTAAAC